GTGGCCACTGCACTCCAGTCTGGGCAACAGAGTGAGACTCCAACTCAAAAAAAAAGCATTTTTAAGCCTAAAAGATGAATGTTATTGACGCCATATTATCAGTTCTAAATAAGACTCAAATAATAATAATAATAATTATTATTATTATTATTTTGAGTTGGAGTCTCACTCTGTCACCCAGGCTAGAGGGCAGTGGCATGCTCCCGGCCACCGCAGTCTCAACCTGCTGGGCTCAGGTGATCCTTCCATCTCAGCCTTCAGTAGCTGGAACCACAGGCATGCGTCATCACACCCGGCTAGTTTTTGATGTATTGTAGAGATGAGGTCCCACCAAGTTGCCCAGGCTAGTCTCAAACCCATGGGCTCAGGCAGTCCTCTCACCTCGGCCTCCCAAAGTGCTGGGATTATAGGCGTGAGCCACCACGCCCGGCCTCAACCTACTTTTTTAAAGCTTGAAATGGAAGTTTTCCTGTATACTTGGGTAAACCCATTTATCAACATACAGATGATCTAGTTTTTGAAAATAGGCTGAATTATAATATAACAAACTTATTTTAATTACATGTGTATGAAACACTTAAAATGCAAGTACATGCAATGCAAAATTGCAATAGGCATTAGAAATGTTCATGTGATTCTCAGACTTCAGAGTATAATATAATATTATATTATATGATATATTCCATAAACTTCTTTTTTTTTTTTTTTGAGTTGGAGTCTCACTCTGTTGCCCAGACTGGAGTGCAGTAGCCAAGAGCTTCCGGTCACTGCAGCCTCGACCTGCTGGGCTCTAGTGATCCTTCCGCCTCAGTCTTCCGAGTAGCCGGAATTACAGGCACACACTACCACGCCCGGTTGATTTTTTTTTTTATTTATTGTAGAGATGAGGTCTTGCCAAGTTGCCCAGGCGGGTCTCCAACCCGTGGGCTCAGGCAATCCACTCACCTCAGCCTCCCAAGGCGCGGGATTACAGGCTGAGCCACCAAGCCCGGCTTCCATACACTTCTTATCAAAGTTCTGATCACACAGAATTGAAAGAAAATGTGTACTTGTGTCCCTTGCTTTCTTTATAACAGACTTCTAAGTTTTTTTTCTTGTTCAAACCCAGTACATAGTAAATGCTCAATTTAAAAGAATGATGAATTAAACAGAACTGAGTTTAAAAAAAATTTTTCAAAAAACCACAAACCTTTTGGTTTTATCCTGTTTTTAGCTTTTAATTGAGTTTATGGGTCTTACAAATGTTATACATAAACTCAAAAATATATCCCCCACAAAGTCAAAACATGGCTTCTATGAGTTATACCCTAAGCTATTTTTTCTTAATAACTTCACATGTATTAACTGATTCAATAAATATCAAGTAGGATTCAGACTCTCAATGTAATTATTTAACATCTATTAAGTTTTTTAATTTGGTCAAATATTTAAGCTGAGACTTTCAAGGTAAAATTGGAATCCAGTTGAGGAGAAAGAGTAGGTGCAGAAACAGACATAGTGCCTGGAAAATAGGTTTCCCCCAAGAATTGCCCTTACATTTGAAGTTTACAAACATATTTCTTTTATTCTGGGTGTTGACAATGTCTAGATGTCTGAAGCTTCTGTTCAATTTGGCATCATTTCTATGGTCAGACAGAAAAGAGGATATCTGCTAAATGTCACCAAAGGCCAGTGAGTATCACTTCACAGTGCCCACCGATTTTAATTTTTTCCAGACTTAAGAGAGAAACTCAGCAAAAAAGCAAAAGTTGGAGAAAGCAGATGGGGACACACCTCCAGAAGTATGCCTCCAGTGCAGTGACAAATTCTGGCCTAATTCACAGATTTCATCTCAAGAGAAGATGGTGCCCTCTTTCCTAGTCAGAGGTCTAATACTCATCTTAGGGTGTTTTTTGTTCGTTTGAGTCAGAGTCTTACTCCATTGCCCAGACTGGATGGAGTCCAGTGGCACACTCATGGCCACCACAGCCTCGACCTGCAGGGCTCAGGCAATCCTTCCACCTCAGCCTTCCAAGTAGATGGAACTACAGGCATGTGCCACCACACATGGCCAGTTTTTTTATTTATTGTAGAGGTGAGGCCTTGCCAAGCTGCCCAGGCTGGTCCCCAGCCCCTGGGCTCGGGCAATCCTCTTGCCTCCGCTTCCCAAAGTGCTGGGATTACAGGCATAAGCCACCACGCCCAGCCTCTTGTGGTGTTGTATACTCTAGGAACACCTCCAGTCATGGTGGATTTAAAAATGAGATTCATTTGCTGTGAAATACATCACCATGAAAGGGATTTCCAGACATATATGCCTTCCTAGTGAGGCCTTTGAACAGCCCTCTGTTGTAGACGACAAGTTTGATGGGTAATGCTAAAATACTGCTGTTGTTGCAAGAAAAAAGGCACAGTGACAGTCTTCATGGGTAATTAACTTGCGCTCAAGTAATCAATCACCACCACTACTGACTCCTGAGCTTTCCCTACAGAAATGTGAGTGTCTCTTTAGGATGAACTGTCCTGCCAGGGCATAGCAGTGCCTCTGAGACAAGCAGAAGTCAGTGACACTGCCAGGTATGTCAAGCAGCTAGCAGTGCAAGCACTGTGTCTTTGCTCCATGACCATCAGAACCTATCAGAACAGGTGGGTATTAAACATCCTAATACTCAATATGATAAAAGCTATCTCCCCACCCATCAATTTACCAACTAACCTCATCTGCTTCTGTATCCTCTTCCTTTCCTATTGTTAAAAAGGAAAAGTAATCCAGTCTTCTCTAATTGGTGGCCAGAACTCTCACAAGTACCCTGTTCATATCCCCATTCCCCTAAATAAAGGATTTTTCTCAGCCATCTATTATTTACCCCATTCTCCGGCATTTATCTAATCTCCATAACCAGTTTATCTCTCTTCTAAAGCATGTCCATCAATACACAAACAAAGGAGTCTCTTGATCTTGCACTGCTGTTGCTAGTGAGTCATTTGTCTGTCTCCCTCCGTAATCCCTGCTCTACTTCCTCACAGTGGAGTTTCTCTTGAATCTTCTCTAAGACTTTCCTACCAAAGCCTTCTTAACAAGGTCACCAATGAATTTCAAGTGCCAAATCCAATGGTCAATTCTCCACCCTCACCTTCCTTAGACAAGAACATAAAAGTGTGGTTTAGGCCAGGCTCGGTGGCTCAGCCTGTAATCCCAGCCCTTTGGGAGGCCGAGGTGAGTGGATTGCCTGAGCCCGTGGGTTCGAGACCCACCTGGGCAATTTGGCGAGACCTCGTCTCTACACTACATCAAAAATTAGCCAGGCGTGGCAGTGCACGCCTGTAGTTCCAGCTACTTAGAAGGCTGAGGCAGAAGGATCGCCAGAGCCCAGCAGGTCGAGGCTACAGTGGCTGGGAGCGTGCCACTGCCCTAAAGTCTGGGCGATGGAGTGAGACTCCGACTCAAAAACAAAACAAAACAAAACCAAAAACAAGTGTGGTTTAGATGCAAAGACTGAAGGTAATGATGACTTGGATGCAGTTCCAAACTGTTTTCTTTCTGTTTACTATCAATCTTCAGCACGTGATGGAAAAGGATTCACAAGCTAAGAATACAAGTGATGGAACAGGTGCAGCTCTCCTCACAGAGGAGCACTTTAAGTCTGAAGTTGAATACAGCTGTGAAGACTAGAGAAAACTGCCACACCAGAGGGACAAAGAAACATGGGTGCACTGCCTTGTAGACATTTAGTTTGGAAGCAAACCACTTTATGACCATGTACTCACTGTACAACAACTGCTGACACCCAATTTCCATTTCTGTTTATTGGGCTTCCTCAGAGCACCTGAACAGCAGTACTGGTTGACCTGCCACATCACCCTCCTCAGTTTCTCAGCAGCACTTAGCACAGCCAATCACAGGTCCTACTAAAGCCCACTTTCCTCCCCTTGCCTTCTGGAATACCATGCGCACGTGTTCCTCTATCATTTCTCCATCACCTCTGCTTTTTCCCTCCTAGTCACCACTACTAAAATACTGGAGAGATCCAAGGCTCTTTCTCTGGCCCTCTTCTCTGCTCTTGCTACAGTCATCTCCTGAGTGATCACTACTCAACTGGAAGGAATCAAGGCTTTAGATACCACCTGAAATAATTCCCTAGAAGCAGTCAAAACAAATTACCACAAACTCACAGCTTAAAACATCAGAAAGGCCAGGCCGGTGGCTCACACCTGTAATCCTACACTTTGGGAGGCCTAGGTGGGAGGACTGCTTGAGCTGAGGAGTTTTATACTAGCCTGGGCAGCATATCAAGACCTCGTCTCTACCCCTAAAAAAAAAAAAATCTAAAATAAGCCAGGCATGGTCACACACACTATAATCCCAGCTACTCAGAAAGCTGAGGC